AATTAAATCTAGTACTACCAACATAAGAATCAAAGCTGGCAAGAAACCCAGAACTTGCATGTTGATGTGGCGGTGATGAAGAAGAAGAAGAATCCATGCTAGGTTCTGTAGTCTTGTACTCACTCATAAGATCATAACAAAAGTCTCGAATCCTATTAAAATGAAAGGTAGATGTGCCAACATAATTCCTGGGAAAGGCTCACTCTAATAGCTTCATCTTGAACCTAGGATCCAATATAGCAGCCAAAGTTCCATGGATAACCTCCCAATACACAGTCCAATCATTCACCAACTAACATTTTGATGAGACCTAATTCAAAGCAAATAGAAAGCATAGCCTACTTGATAAGAATTCGTACCTGGATGCGTTTCTGTATTTCAGCTACTAGAGAAAATCACAAATAGACCAACTGAAGAGAAGAAGAAGTAAAAGAGTCAATCACAGCCACCACGGTCCACGTACAGTACTGCATGCAACAGCAGCAGCAGTTCAAAAAGGAAAATGAACCCTCAGACCTGTTTCTCTAATGGGCTTTTGCTTTTTTTTCTCCATGATCTGCTCTGCTGCTGCAAATACATTAAGTATTATTGCTTAATTAGATTCTAAATCAAGTATCCAAATCTGCACCGTTAATGGTCGTGTACTCCAACCCTTAAACTATATTCCACTCCAACTTTCACACACCGGAAACCCAATCCTTTTAACCCCCCGGCAGGCCGGCAGGCTTCAGAAAGGAACATGCAGCAGCAGTGCACGTTTCATTCCATCAATGACAGAGCTTGAGCATCGAGTTGGAAACAGTACTGGATCCAGTAGTACTCTATGTATATACTAATTAATATACTTTTATATATATATGTGTGTGTGTGTGTGTGTGAAGACAGTTATTTAGGAGAAACAAAGGAAACAGTAAAACAAGAAACAGGAGCAAAATTAAAAGCTATATGTGCTTGCTGCTCCTATCAATTTCACCGATTTACTAATACTATACTTGATGATCAGATAACTGAACAGATCAACCATATGAATATTTGTTTCTTAATTTGTTTGTACTAACAAGCTAGGCAAACACACAAATGCTTGACGATACGCATATATATTGGCCTTATTGTTGAAGGGAAGCTTGTCAATTAGTGCTCTGCAGGAATTGGTTCAAAAGAGGGAAACTTTGTCTCGGCAAGCATTTGGGAAAGACCTATCAATCAGGCAAGATTGGTTTGTCGACCGGGCAAGATCAAATCAAATCATCAAGATTAGAAAGAACTAACGGCTAGGAGGATGAGTATAAGTTTAGAAGGATGGAGAAAACAGGGGTTAACCTTTTTCACGCAAGCATTCAAAAACAGAGTCATGGAGATAGTCTGTATTTTGGAAAAGAAAAAGGAGTGAGCTGTCGGAGAGAGAGCTTGTAGTGTGAGTTGACAGTCAAGTTGAGTTACCGGCGGGGAGCCAGTATCTCAAGTGCGACTCTGATCGAGTGACAGGGAGTTACTCAGAGATCGGTGTTGTATTATTGTAACTGAAACTCAAAATCATAGTGAATCGCCGAAGGTCTCAAATCAGAGATCCTTCGACCATGGATTAGTCGGTATTAGGATCATTCATTCTCTAACACCGGATACCACGTAAAAATATCGCGTCTGGGTTTATGTGTTGTTTACTGCGCTTTCACTATTTCAGTTAACATTACTACTGTGATTTTATTATAACCCTTCAAAGAAAATCAAACCAACAAATTGGAATCCGTATCAACCATCACAAATTTTTAGTCACCTCATCTATGAAGGAGACAAGCAGCAAATTGGATGGACTAGCAAATTGGAGACAAGCAGCAAATATGTAGACAATTCAATGTGTTTACCTACTGGAAGATCAGAAGGAAATTGACCCGCCGTGGAATTCCTTCAAGAACATAGTTGAGGAACCCTTCTTCGACATTATTTCAATCATTCAATCATCATTGCCTACTTCGTTGTTGCTATCTTCTGCCCCTTCTCCGATCCCCCAATCGTAGTTAATCTTGCTAGCGCTCTAAAGGGCACAATTTTACCCTGGTTATGTAGCACGGATCATAGATCCGTTTGGGAGGAAGAGACGGTTTCAAGGGACGACCAACTTCTTCTGGGGTCACAGATCGACGGCAGAGTGGGTTTTTGGTATCTCTGGAGGGTCACGAAATCGGAGTGGGTTTTGTATCACTGAGCGGCGGCACGGCGGTGATGCGATTCAGTGGTCGGAGGGGATGCCGAGAACGGAGATGGCCGGGGCGGCGACGTTCGAGGCTTCGAGCTAGTGGCGGTGGCCGGGGCGCCGACGTCGTGGCCGTCTCTGTTTGCTCAGCCGGCTCGTCGTCGACAAAGGATGGGTAGAGAGCAAGGTTGTCAACCCGTGGGTCGACCCGGACCCGGTCGAGCTAGTGGGTAATGGGTTAATGGGTCACCCGTTTTAGCGCGGCTTAGCCTAGTTCAGCCCAGATATTAAAGAATACATACAAGTATTATAGTGGTTTAATAATTTAGTGATTGAAATGTAATTTACTTATAAATACCATATGATAATTTAGGTACCATATGATAATTTACCATATGATTGAAAGAGAAAAACCCCCTAAAACTACCTACACGCCACATCAAATGCCAAAACCCTAAATTGTAAAGCCTCATCCTTCCTTCTCCCCGTGCAGACGCCTCTCAACATAATTCCTCTTTTCTTCCTTCATTGAGAATTCCTCTCCTGGTCGGCAGTGGCTACTCCGGGTCCCGACTCTTCCACTCACCCTCATCCCCCAAACAAAGCAAAAAACGAGTTCCAAAGCGGACAATCTCTCCGCCATCCGTTCTGCTTTGTCCAGATTCCAAACCCCTCAGCTCTCGTTGCCTCCCAGCGACCGAACGTCGACCACCACTCCCGGAGTCCTCCTCCACGCGATTCTCCAGCTCACTCAAACCGTCAAACGCAAATTTTGGAAAATCTCCTTCAACTATGCCTCAAGAACAGTGAGCACCGGACTTGGAAAAAGCAAACACGACGACATAAAGGACAACCCGGTACCCATTTTGGCTGGGGCAACCGCCCGGGTCCGCCGGGTTTTAACTGGGTCGAAGCGGGTTTGACCAATCTGGGCTAACCCTTGAACGGGTGTTCACAACCCGTTTTTTCCTCCGGGTCCGGGTCAACCCGCAGGTCGACCCGTGGGTTGACAACCTTGGTAGAAAGAAAGAGAGTGCTGACTGCCAACTCTCGAGTCTCGACTAAGAGGAAACGAAGACTTTTTTCTTTTTAGTTTTGTTTTTCTTTTTTTAATTATTTGGGTTTGGATTTTTTAACCCAAGTAAACCCAACATAATGGGTATGGGTATTGACTCATCTGACTTTATCAATTTACACTTTAATGGGATTTCAGACTCAACCCAAATGGGTTGGATACTTATAAACCTATGGGTATGGGTATAATTGCCAAGCCTATTTGTTACTATTAAAATCAGGGTTAAAAAATGTCAATTTGGTATAGTTTATGACGAAAAAATTTAAATTTTAGGGCGACAAATAGCGATTCAGGAAAAAAAATCTAGAAAAAATGGAAGGGTTAATACCCCAGTTTGGCCCGAAGTTTGGCGTAAGTGACAGTTTTGGCCCTATTTTTCAAATAAGACATTTATGGCCAACTTTTGAAACTATTGGACATATTTGACCCAAAAAAAATTTTGATCGTTAATATTGACAGTCAAACACTATTCCGTTACTGACTCAACAAGAAACCACTGATATGACATGCCATGTCTTTAAATAATATTTTTAAAATTTTTTAATTTGATTAAAATACAAATTAAGAAATTAAGAAAAACAACCCTAAACTAAATCAACCTCATCATGTTAACAGGAAAGAGGCGCTTCCTCCTTCTCTGCTCCACCACCTCTCCCATTCCTTCCCAAAACCCAAACTACAGTTTCTTCTTCTTCCACTACTTTGTAACTTCCCCATCCAATCATATTCCTCTTTCCCTTTAAGAAAAGCCCAAAATTCAAAGAAATTTCAAACAAAACCCTAAACACATGGGTGTTGCTTGAAGGGAAAAGAGAAAAATTCATGAAGATCCGCCACTTGTGGAGCCCAAGTTCTGCCACTTCCTCTTCCGACTCCGCCGCCTACACTTGATCGGAAATGCCAGGAGATTCTCCGTCGAAATCGAGGCGGTGTCACCGTCATGCGAGACTTTCTGGAACTCGGAGCTCTGCTGCTCTTTTCTGTGGCGGCCGGAGCGAGGTCGACCGTCTTCACAGCCTGAACCTGACATTCCTGCAAGTTGAGATCCTCGAGATCTTTCTTGACTTGGTCGTTCGACGGTGAGAAATTACCGCCCGCCATTGGGCAGCATCACAGATCTATGGGTCCTCATCATCAGGGTTCGGGTGGCGACAAGGGCGACCCAAAACCTGCTTCTCGGATGTACACAGGTGGGTTCTCGCTTCTGGAGGCGATGGTGGAAGGAGTGACGAGGAGAAGAAAGAGAGGGATGGAAGGGATAGAAAAATTAATGGTGGGAGCGCGGCGGCAGAAGTGGTGGGAGCGCGACGGTAGTGGTTGTCGAACAAGGAGGAGGCGCCTCCCTCCTGTTGATGATTATAAAGATTTAGTTTAGGGTTTTTTTCCCTTAATTTTCTTATTTTAATTGAATTATAAAATTAAAATAATATTATTTAATGATGTGGCATGCCACATCGGCGGTTTTTGCTAAGTCACTGACGGAATCGTGTTTGACCGTTAATATTAACGGTCAAAGAAAATTTTGGGTCAAATTTGTCCAATAGTTTCAAAAATAGGTCATAAATGTCTTATATGAAAAATGAGGTCAGAATTATCACTTACATCAAACTTCTGATCAAACTAGGGTACTAACCCAAAATGAAAACCTAAAAGGAAAAAGAGAAAAGGAATGGAGCCCACGATGACATCAGTATATCACCCACCCGCGCGCGAATCGTAATGGGTAAGGATAAACGCAGGAAGCACTGAAGCAGATCATGAGATGCTTACGCTACGCAGCATTCATTAATCGGAGAGAGAAAAGAAGAAAAGAGCTTCATCACAACGCGGTTGTTTCGTTCTTTTGACGCGCATCTCTCTGATTCGTCTCCATCCTATATAATCTCTCATTTTCTGCATCCCAAGTCCTAACTAGAAAAAAGGAAGACGGTTGCTCTGCAGAAATTTTTCCACAATCAAGCTCTGGTACGAACTACGAACTCCTCCATCGATGAAGATTTCTACGGTTCTCTATGCTTTTTGCTCCCTCTCATTTCCTCTCGGTTTATTGATTGTTGCCATGTTTAGCTTCTCCGATGTTCCGATTTCCCGCTGATGCTTTTGTTCCAATTGATCTTTTCTGGGTTCCATTGAATACGATGTGCGTCACAGTTTAAAACTTTCATCGAATTTGACCGATCAATCGGTGTGTAATTGGTGGGGATCTTGCATGTGTCTTTGTGGGGTTTGGTTTTTTGGTGGCAAATAGGGATTTTGTCTTCCTTTAAAAAGAAGAACACTTTGATCGATCCTCTTTTGCTTCTAGCTAGTCAAGGTTTTCATTTCACCCATCTGGGTTCCATCTATGGACATAGTATTTTTTTTCTTTTTCTTTTTCTTTCTGTGGTTGGAAATGGAATCGTTTTGCCTGAATCTGATGGAATTCGGTCTTCTGTTCTAGCTTTTGAATTGAAGTTGGTCCTGAAGCAATGGGAGGCGGCAACGGCAATGATCACGACTCTACCGATAAGGGCCTGTTTTCGCACCTAGGTGCATTCGCAGCTGGCTCGCATTACCCTCACCATGGAGGAGGGTATCCTCCACAAGGGTACCCACCACAGGGGTACCCTCAGTACCCTCCTCCACATGGCTATCCGCAGCCACCCCACGGAGGATATCCTCCCCATGGAGGGTACCCTCCCGCAGGCTATCCTCCCCCCGGCGGATACCCTCCTCCTCACGGTGGCTATCCTTCGCACGGAGGACATGGTGGTTACCCTCCTGCTGGTTATCCTGGTCACTCCAGTCATTCCGGTCTGATCATTGCCCTGATTAGGAGTTAGAACCCTCTTGAATTGAATACTGAAAAAAACCAACATCGATGTCTGCAATCGTTTTCTGTGTTTGATGATCTCGTGAAATCATGATTTGGCAGGGCATGGGGGCGGAATGGGTGGGCTGTTAGCAGGAGGAGCGGCGGCTGCAGCTGCTGCATATGGGGCTCATCACATAGCTCATAGCTCTCATGGATATGGAGGGTATGGTCATGGATATGGCGGGTTTGGTCGTCATGGGAAGTTCAAGCATGGCAAGTTCAAGCACGGGAAGTTTGGCAAGCATGGGATGTTTGGAAAGCACAAGGGTGGGAAGCACTTCAAGAGATGGAAGTAAAAAGAATTTCATATAATACCTGCCCCCACATTAAGAATTCAGACGATTTCGTTTCACCTGTCATTACTGATCAGTGTGGCTTTTATAGTTATATCTGACTGCCTTAAGATTCATGGTCTGTAACTTTCTTATCATGTCTTCGCGGGGTTTGTGCTTGTGATTTTAGCCTGCCGTTTGTATCAAAGATTCTGAAATGCTTGGGTTTGTATGCAGGGTGTGTAAGAACGTGTTGTTCCCTGGCTCACTAAATAAGATCTTGTTAAATTCAGTTGCTTTCTTTTCGTCTTGTGGATAGGTTTAGAGAGAGACCTAGTGCACAGGATTATACGAACATCATTCAGCAGCCTGAAAGCAGCTGTTGACACTGTTTCGTAACCTGAAAGCAGGTGTCTTCATATCCTGACAGAAATTTCTCTCCTTTAAGCCTTTTCTTCGTCAACAATTCCCATTATTAGTGAATTTACTAAAAATGGAATCATCTCTCTGGGAATGAATTGGCGTACGCAACCTGCAACTTTGATTCTTTGTTGAGATTCTGAAAAGATGGGATAATAGTTGCAAGATGGTGACTTTAGGAGCAGGAACGATCATCAGCCAATTCATTGGCAAAGAATTGAAAATGCATCAAAACATAACAAGATCTGCAACTTTTGGTCTTTGTTGAGATTCTGAGAAGATTGCCCAACAGTTGCAACATGGTCACTTTAATCGAAAATGCATCAAAACATAATAAGATCTGCAACTTTTGGTCTTTGTTGAGATTCTGAGAAGATTGCCTAACAGTTGCAACATAGTCACTTTACCTATCATCAGAGGCAGAGAGTTGATTGCCAAAGCCACAATGCATCAAAGAGAACTGGAACAGAAATAAAAGAAATAACGTGGACGGCAGGATTCGAACCTGCGCGGGCAAAGCCCACATGATTTCTAGTCATGCCCGATAACCACTCCGGCACGTCCACAATTTAATGTTATAATTACTGTTAAAATTATATTAACCGTTTCTTAATTTATTATAATAACTAGCCATCATATATACTTAACACTATTAGAATATAAGCACTGAATAAGTTTTATTTACAAAATTTATCCCTTTTAATAATTATATATAATATTGAAATTATTTTTATACATAAATATTAAAATTATATTCTTAATTTGATCTTTCTAATAAATTTATACTCATAATTATCATTATTCAAAAACCACGCATATTTTATTATTATTAACCAAATCATCCTACCAACTTTCTCTTTACTACTAAAACATATTTTACATATCATCGATTGAACTTCTTTTTCATCGCGAGAGAAATTTGTCAAATACAACAAATCTCGACTTCGTTAAAAATTTAACAAAATTGTAGGTGCAATTAAGTTGAGCAAACAAAGAGAATAACACATAAATAACGCCTGTCAAAATTTGAACCATAACCTCCTGAATCCAATCTAGGTCTTTATTTAAACCCAATCAAATACAAGTTTTTTTACCACTACCTTTAATTTCCTAAAAAGTGTTTCCTACAAAGAAACAACAAAGCCATATCAAGTCTCATTCACAAATCCAAAGGCTCAACCAAGAGACTCATTGCAAGGTCCCGTGGCTTGCACAATACGTTCAAGGGCTCAACTCTAGGCAGAGTGAGTCCCAAACCCTCGGTCATATCCACCGCTCCCATACCAATCTTCTCCCACTCGAACCCCTGAACCAAACATCCCAAGACCAACCCCATCACTCGATTCGCCACAACGACACCTGGACATCCTCGCCTCCCCAGACCGAACGGAAACGACTTACAAACTCCGTCAGAAACGACGTTTCGATAACCTTCTTCAAATCTCTCGGGAACAAACTCCGTCGGTTTCTCCCACACCTCCGGATCTCTGTGAATCGCCCACGCGTTCACCATCAGGATCGTCCCTTCACGGACGTCGTACCCTCCCACGCTGCAGTCCTCCGACGCTTGGCGCACGCCTAGAAGCGGAGCGGGCGGGTAGAGGCGAAGTGTCTCGTCGATCACGTGATTCAAATACGCGAGATTCGACAGATCCAGCTCGTTGACGAGCCTTTCTTGCCCGACTTTACTAGCAATTTCTGCTCTTAGTTTGTTCATCACTTCCGGATGGTTCAGTAACAGAGCCATCGCCCATTCTATTGCTGTGGCAACCGTGTCTGTGCCCCCGATTAGAATTACCTGCCAACCAAATCGTTTCTCAATTTTAATCACTCCCCCCAACAGCATAAACTTTCGAGTTTAGTTAATTGCGTCGAATAATGGCGGGAAAATTTCTTACCAGAATAATCCCCTTTAGTATCTGGTCCGTCAGAAACTCTGGCTCCTCCCTCTGCAAATTCAACAGATCCTCGATTATCACCGCTTTCTTCTCCTCTTCCTCCTCCTCCTCCTTCTCTCCCACTAGCTTCCGGCGATTCTGGTCGACGAGACCCTGCAGAAACTTGTCCATCTTCTCCCTCAGAGCAGCCATCCGTTTCTCCGTTCGGAACAGATCGACCCGCTGCAGAATCGGCAGGAAATCGATCAAGTTCTGTCCGCAAAAGTAAACAATATCCCTCATCGCTTCCTTGAACTCGTTCGCCTCCGAATCGCTTGCGTCGTCGCCGTCTCCCCTGCCGCCGCCGTAGTATCGTTTCCCCAGCACGGCCATCGTCAACATGTTGAAAGTCGCCTCACGGATTTGCGATTTCAGCTCGACGACGTTTCCCCTGTAACCCCATCAGTACGGTCAAAATCTCGATTCTACTTTTGACTACATTTGTGGGTGAAAGCGCGATTCTAAATGTTAGAAGCGTTAAAATTGTGAAAGTGTATGTGTATGCTTTGAAACTTTTAAAGTGCAATTTTTGACTTACATTGAACCCCACCACGCGATTCGCTCGACCAGGGAGCGAGTTTCGGCCTCCCTGACGGCGGCGAACCTGGCCAGGCTCGCCGTGGAGAAGAGCGCGTTGTTGAGGATGCGCCTGAGGTTGCGCCAGAGGTCGCCGTAGGGGGCGACGAAGACGGTCGTGAAGTCGTAGTGGAAGTACTTGCCGGCCAGGAGTTGGGGACGGCCGGCGAACGCCAGGTCGTGGCGGGTGAAGCATTCCTCGACGGCGGCAGGGGTGGAGATGAGGAGGACGCGGCGCGACCCGAGGCGGAGGGAGAGGATTTTGCCGTATTTGGCGGAGAGGGATTGGAGAGTGCGGTGGATTGGCTGCCGGATTAGATGGAGGTGGCCGAGAATTGGAATCGCCGGCGGGCTCGGCGGCGGGTTGAATTGTTTCGGGTTTGGGTTGGGGATCAAGGATTTTGGCAGTAAGGGAACGGCGCAGATTATGAGCAGGAGAGTTAGGAAAAGGAACAAGGAGAATTCCATGATCTTATTTTTATTTTATTTTTCTGTGAATTGATTGTTTTGTGTAAGTGTGTCTGAGTGACTGATGCTGAGAGAGGAATTTATAAGAGTTTGTGTATTCTTATAATCTTATTCATAACCCATTCAAGCAAAAGCAACAAACTTATATATGCAAGCTCGTCAGTTTTTTTGGATTCAAGCTTATTAATTGATGATGTAACGTGACCAAGACGTTGGCCGTACTTGTTCATAGTACATGGAAACAGATATGTTCATAGAATTTAGTACATGCACGGACTGGCCTTTTGAATTGAACAACTAAGTCCACAGTTCCCTCCGTCACGACGTTGTTGTCTAGCAGATGGTCATTTCTTCCTCTTATTTTGACAGCTTATGAACTGCAAGATTATTACTCGAGAGAAATTTTTTATAATACGAATCGAGCAGTCTATCAACTTTCATTAGATTGTAGTTATGGAAAGCTTTGTATGATTTAATGATAATTAAGATGGACTAAAGATGTTTTAAAAAATGATGGGCTAAAGACCGATTGTGAAAATTCGATTGAGTAAAACTCCAATCAGTTGGAATTCCAGGGGGATATTTATTTTCTGCAAACTACCCTTTCGTTTAGCCAAGTTTTACTTTTTGTGCGTTTTTTTGTCCGTTTGATACTGCTTCGATTTTCTTATTTTATGTACTTGTATTCTCCATTTGAATTTGGTGTTCAGTTTTCATTATTCACCCACGGTTGGCGGTTTACATTACTCTTCCTGTTTTTACTGTTTCATTTTCGCTTAAGTTTGAGTACTTGATTTGCTGAGTGGGTGGAATCACAGCCACAAGCCCACAACACAAATCCTCCAATAATATATTGTAGAGTTTTGTATATTTTTCTCCATTTCAAATTTCCTGCAACGAGAGTGAAAATAGGAAGGGCAATTTTGTCTTCATAATTAATTATTTATTTCATATAAAAAATATCAATATCAAGAATTGAACTCGGATCTCTACAAACAAAGACAACAATCACAACCAATTGCACTAAATAAATTTGTTTTATCTTTTTTAATACAAAACATACACGAAGTTAAACTCTGAAATCAGAGGACTTTTCCATCATCATTAGCAAACCCACCAAGTCTATCGTAGGTATTTTATGGTGCTTGATAATTCAATTTTCATAGTAGAGTTTCATGTAATTTTATCAATTTTAAAGTTCCTGCTCTCTCCTTAATTTCGCTAAAGGTTTGGTAATTGGCTAACATAAAAGAAACTAATTTTGTTACTACGTGTTGTGTCCTTGCATTTCTCAATTTAAATATAAAATTTGTGATTTTATCTTTGTTCTTATCTCTTTCTAACTTCCTCCAAAATTCCCTCCATCGTGCAATTGTTTGCGTCCATTTCACTTCCTAGTATAAGGCCGACTTTGAAAATCAATCTTCCGACATCTCTTGGCACTACAGTTTTTATTGTTGGGGATGAACCTGGGCAAGAAGAAGATTTCAACTCCGATATCAATCCATGGAGAATAGAATGGAGTTCAATAAATGAAGTTGCAGAAGGAGGATTAGAAATTGAATTTTTGGTTGAAACATATGCTTCTTGAAATATAAATTTGGTTGTACAACGCTGAGTGGTGGCTATTGGATCCTTAGATTTATGGTTTTTGAATCTACCACAACCTATTTTCTATCTTAAAATGAGGAATCATTGATTGATTTACTAAAGTATGTCGATTTTTTATTCAACCTACCTGAACTGATAGATATAAGGAGTGTCTAATTTCATGCCTTATTAATTTTATCGAGTCTATTAGTATATTGGAGGTAATCCTAATTTTGTGATTTACTCTCAAGTTTTGATGGTACCCTCTTAGTTGAATTGTTAGTATATAGTACACTTGAATCAACAACTCTCAATTTCTTTTTTATCAGTGGTATATTGTTCCTAAAAGGAGAGCATTGAACCCTTTTATGTAAGATCGTGAGGTTTAAGATTTAGTTTCAAACTATCTATGGGTCGTGTGAGAATTCCAGTGAACTTTTATACTCTATCTTTCTTGATAATCAACAAACCAATAGGATTTGAACAGGGCTTAATTATCATTATGAAAATGGGATAAATGATACATTTTTTATCAACAAAC